CAGCTATTACATTTGACTGGGAATGCTGGGTCAGAAATTCACAGTAAACTTTCTCACTATCAGACAAAAAAAGAATCTCTCAGCCTGGTATGATGACTCCTGCTTGTAATCTACAGAACCCAGAAAAATCCATTACAAAACGTAAAAGCTACCAACCACTCACTCCTGCAAATATGCATATTCATGTATACATGTGTCCATACCAGAATGCTAGCAAATTAAATCCAAACATACATGCAACAGTTCACATCCTTGTCAAAAACCAACTGACTGTAAGTGCAAACTTTTATTTCTGAATTGCCTGTTCTACTCCATGTACTAAATGTTTGTCTTTATGCAATAATACACAATCATGATTATTACAGCTGTTTAGTAGATTTTTTTTTTTAAGATTTATTTATTTATTATGTATACAGAAGAGGGCGCCAGATCTCATTACAGGTGGTTGTGAGCCACCATGTGGTTGCTGGGAATTGAACTCAGGACCTCTGGAAGAGCAGTCAGTGCTCTTAACCTCTGAGCCATCTCTCCAGCCCCTGTTTAGTAGATTTTGAAATCATAAACTGCCTTTGAACTTCGTTGTTCATAGTCATGATCATTTTAGATTATTCTGGGTCCTTTGTATAACTATATGGATTTTGCTTTTTTGGATTGATGAAAATGCTATCAAATTAATGCTGATGGCTGAACACTTTGTGACTATTCTAGAAACCACTTAGTTGTATACTTTGAAAGGGTAAGTTTTGAGCAGACAAACTCAAATTGAGGTCCCAGCTCTAGTAGTACTAGCTTTGTGTCTGTGGATCTGTCATTTGAACCTATTCTGTACGATGTCAAAACAGGAATAATACCCCCTATACAAATGCTCAGTAAAGTTTTGAGATAATGTATTTAAAAAAAAAAGAAAGGGTAAGTTTTATGTTGTTAATTGTATCTTCATAGTGATAACAAAACCTGTAGCTCTCCACCCTTAGAATGTCATCAGTTATTTGAGAAAACCTTTTTCCATGCTAAATTTGTAGATTGATTGACTTGACTGGTAGATTTTTGATCAGAGAAAGAATTGTATGGTATATAGCTGGTGATAACTGGTCAAGAGACTGGTAGTTAAGACAAGGATTATCTCACACTGCACTACAAAAGAGAAGGGTCCACAGAGCATCCTTGGTGATGACTGAGGGAACTAATTACTTCAGGAACTACTATGAAGGAGGTTTTGGTAGGCAGTGAGGTATTTCTCAGACCACAGGTCAGAACCCATCCAAAATGGAACATATAGTTCTAGGTTGCTTTTTTTTTCCTAGTTAAATCAAACTTTTAAAAAAAATTAGATCAGAATATATGGCATAGAAGCAGTGTCTTGAGAATTTTGTTTTGTATATACAAACATATTTACATCCACTGTGACACGAAAGATGTATCTCGTATTGTGGATTAACGAGAAACAGCAACACTCATAGGCGTGAGAAAATATGTCCCTGCTTGCAGAGGGTGTGCGTAGATGCAGTTGGTTGTAGCAGCGAACTGTTGGTTCTTCTGTCCAAAGTCGTATTTTGTTTCCATTTGCATATCGCCCCCTCAGCGAGGACTTACCTCCGCCGGGGACTTTCCGTTTCTCTGCTCCGTCTGCCCGGATTCTGCAGCTCTCCGTAGCCAAAGGCCCAGACCCCAACTACGTTCCTCCGAAAAGCGTAAGTGGTGACTGGCCACCATGCAACACTCTCGGCGCCAGTTGCTTCTCGTGTGGCCAAGCACATAGCAGCTTGAGGAGAAAGGGTTTGCTGGGCTCACAGTCTGAAGCATGTAGTCCATCGTGGAGGGGAAGGCGTGGCCACTGGTGGCTCCACGGTGGCGGGAATATGGAGGCCGGACCCCTCACCTCCTCACATACAGAACAGGAAGCAGAAAGCAGACAGGAAGTGTGGCCAGGCTATACTTCAAAGCCTAGTGACCCACTTCCTCCAATGAGGCTCCCCTTCCCAAAGATTATCCAGTCCTCTAAGATAGCAATGCCCGCCAGAGACCAAGTGTTCGAACATGTGACGCTAGGGGAGACATTGCGCTTTCAAACCACAGCTCCTTCTCTATTTTTCTTGGTGGGTTTCCCCCTCTTATACGATCAATTTTGCTTCCTCTGTCAGGAGTAGATCCTAGAAGCAGAACCATGTGTGATATAGAACAGGGGATTTATTACATATATTAGCCCTAGAATAATTTCGGGATCAGATGAAGTCTACGGCAGACAGGTACACGGTGGAGAGGTCACCGGAATAAGTGTGAAGTTCCTCAGGAGGTATCCGGGGTGTGGAGTCTAGCCCCTTTGGAGCTGGAAGGACTGGTAAGGAAAGTAGTATTTAAGGGTTTAGAGTACCCCACTTTACTGGAAATTTCAGGGTTTAGGGTCCCCCATTTCACTGGAATCTGCCCATACATCAGCATCCCAATCCTCAAGGTCCCACCGTTTCCCAAGCGTTGCCCTAATTTTAACATCAGTGATTGGACAAGCTTGGCAATCCAATTTTTATTGTAACCCACCCAGCCCACAGAATTAGCTTTTGGTTTTCACACTATCCAGCCCTGTGACAACAGAGGATAAAGGTTTCTCTTGATGGAAGTCGTTTCTGGTCCTTTATCTGGATTCGAAACTGGAAATTTAACGACCTGCGAAGGTTGTTTTGTTTTTCCTCAAGCTGTGCAGCGTCCTTACCAGCAGACAGCCCCTTCCATCGTCCTCCTGATTTCATCGGCATGTTCTCGGCATCCACTGTTGTTCACCCAAAGCTCTGGTTTGTTTTGCCATTGCACGCCATGGCTACCAGTTGTTGATTTTTTTTTTTAAGTACCACTGATAATGGACGCCTTAATGCCTGTGACTCTAAATGCCACCAAAGTAACTTCTAAAACCAACATTAGAACTGATATAAAGAACCTTAGAGCTCTGGTCTGATTGTCTCTTTCTTCATTGCCAACTCACAAACCTGATGGGGTGAAGTAACTACCACTTTACCACACTCAAGGACTTTATGAGCCAGAAATTCCAACAAGGAGAAAGGGGTGGCATGCCTCTGTTCCATGTCAAGGCTTAGCTGGGAATCTCTACGTACCTGGGTGCCTGCTATGGTGGGGGGCTAAAATCATCTGGAGGCTCCTTCATAACCTAGTCAGGACAGGCTGCTGTACCTAATGCCATAGACTGGGTGGCTTCAACAGAGGACGTATATGTATCCTTGGAAGCTGCAAAACCCAAAATTAAGATCTCAATAGATTCTGTTCTTGGTGACGCCAATTTCTTGATTACAGACAATGTTACAGACAAGAGTTACAGGAAGAGTTCTCTTCCCTGGACCCAAATACCTGACAAGAGGCAACTTGAGAGAAAAGGGATTTATTTTGGTTCATAGTATGAGGAGTTACAATCCATCATTATGGGAAAGCAGAGTGGCACACAGTTGTGGAAGCCAAAGTGTGAGGTGGCCTGGTCATATCTTGTTGGCTTGTAGGAAGCAGAGCAGGAACTCAGGCTGGAACCAGGGCCAGATTTTAACCTGACAGCCTGTCTGAAGCTTCCTACTTCCTCCAGTGAGGCCCCAGCATGTAAGCTACAGAGCGGGACCATCAGCTGGGGCCAACTGTTCAAACACACTTGAACCTGTGGGGAAACATTTGATACCCAACTCTAGCAGATGACCACATCTAATAATACACTTGGGATTCAGGCTTTAATATATGAAGGGGCACAAATATTCAATCCATAACTGCACCTACGTGAAGTGCCTAGGCTGGGGTGACCAGGCTAGACTCAGCTGTTAATGACAGAAGAACCTTCACAGGACCCTCCATGTGGTGTGGACCTCTAGGCCATGGCTGCCATGCTTGGAGGAGTGTCCTAAAATGGGAGGTTGAGGGGGAACATTCCAAGAGACTAGGTAGAAGCTGTATTTTTAGAAAATGGGTAGGGTCTGGAATGAACGTGTACTTCAGGTGTGCTCTGTTGGTTGATAACAGTTACTGTCTGGTCAGATTCAAGGAGGTAGGGACACAAACTCAGTCTTTTAATGAGAGAAGTGTCGAAGAATCTATAGGAGCTTGACAAAGCCCTGCCACACCAGCTGATGTCAGTCCTTTGGTATTCTGGAACATGGATACTAGTAAGAAGTTCCATTATCTAAATTTCAAATTTCAAAGTCAATTTTCTTGGACTTTTAGCCTGACTTTTCAAGTTCCAGCATTTTATGTATAGTCCTATTAGTTTTTACTAAAATCAAAAGATCCTGACTTGTATTTGATTGCTTCCAAATTTAGTTAACAAATCCCTTCAAACAATTTTAAATTGTATTTATAAGTTTATTCTACTTGATTATTGATTATAACTATTTGATTTATTGGTAAGTGATCTTACCATCTACATTAGTAATCAAACCTGAAATACTAGATCACTATCTTAAAATTTAATACACTAAACTTACAAATAAGGTACAAATGATTTTTAAAATTCTTATTTATTTTATGTGCACGGGTGTCTTGCATGCATGTACATCTGTGCACTGCTTTCATGCCCACTGTATGGGGACGAGGGCATCAGATCCCCTGGGCCTGGAGTTACAGGCCACCCTGTGGGTGCCAGAAACTGAACCCAGGTTCTGAGCTATCTCTCCAGGTCCAAATGAATTTTTTTTAAATAAATGTTCTAAGAATAAACACAAAATTTTTATTTAATGTCACAATTCTAACTCAGTTCCTCAGTTATACATGAAATAGACCAAATTCTCTTAAATATTCACACTTAAGTATGCACATAGTTTTTATATTAATAGTTTAAAACTTGCTACAAATTATGAAATTATCATGTATTCCTTTATTAATTTCTCCCTTCTGCATGTGCTATGTGCATGTATGTGTAGGGCTTTCAGAATAACTTCTGAGAGTAAACTATGGGTCTACTGGCCTCCAAAATTCTTTTTTGTTAATTCCCAACACAATGACTTCTTCTATAAACCATAAAAATATTATCAAAATCAGAAAATGTAAGACTGATACTATAGTACTTTATCTGCCCCGTGACCCATGTTCAGATTACATTGTTGTTGCCCATACGCTCAACACAAATGATCAATTGTGTGATTGGTTAATGATTAATTCTATTATCCATTCTCTCCAGTTAACTGTAAATATACCTCAAGTTTAACAGTAGCTATTGCCCTCAAAGGAAGCCAGGTTCCTCTCTCGGGTACCTGACATCGTTTTGGATGGATGGACTAGAGGAAGCCTTTATTTAACTGGTTGTCATTCTGAGTCCCTCCTTAGAGGAACTCTGTCACCGTCCACAGAACTCAAGTGTTTGGTCTCATGGCTCACCTAGCACCTATCCACTGTTCTCTGTCCACTTCGCTTTCTTCACGACTTCTACCCAGACAAACCCACTTGGATTTAAACACTTGTTGGCTTTTAAGAGACTGAATGCTGTGCACTTGAATTCTGCAGATCTCACACAGCACTGTCCCACTGGCTGTCCTGATTTTTTTTTTAACTCACATGCTCTCTGTGGTTATTCGGAAAGTAGCCGGATGGTGGTGGCGCACGCCTTAATCCCAGCACTCAGGAGGCAGAGGCAGGTGGACCTCTGTGAGTTCGAGGCAAGCCTGGTCTGCATAGTGAGTTTCAGGACAGCCAGAGCTGTTAAACAGAGGAACCCTGTTTTGAGAAATCAAAACAAAACAAATTCTGAAAGTAAAATCACTGCATTTTGGAGTGGTTTATATAAAATTCTGGAATGTTCCCCAGATACAGATTTTGATTTACATATTCACTTGCATTATTCGGCTCTTTTGCACTGCATTTCTACCAACATTAGATATTATTTTGCAAAATATTAATTGTATAACAAAACAGTATTTCATTTAAAGTTATTAATTTCTTTGATGCTAAAAGTTCAAATAGTTCTCCACATTTATTTACTATGTATTGTTTTCTTTGATAAAATTATCTATTGATGCCTCTGTTTTCTACTGGTATGTATGTTTTTAAGGACTTGTAAAATTTATTTACATATTAAGGGTATTCACCTGTTTTATATTATGAAACTATTTTTTCTGAGGTTATGGTTTGAAATTCTTGAATTTTAATTTCTATGAAGTGCTTAGTTCTTAAGTGTACAATTTAATAAGCTAACAAATGCATAAGCCTATTCAATAAATATTCCACACTCAGGCTATGAAACAATGGCTTATGTCTGTAATCCCAGCACTTGGGAGGCTGACACAAAAGGGTTGCCTTGCCCCAAGTCTGAGGCCAGCCAGAGCTAAGATGGGCACCTGTCTCAGAAGAAAACAAAGCCAACCAAAGACACAAAGCATTGCAATTGTTCCATAGGTTTTCCTCCTATTTCCTCACAATTCCAAGCCCACCCCTTGCCCTGGATGTTATTAGGATTCAGATCCCTATTGCTACAGAGTAGTTCTGCATGCTCATGACCTTGATCTAAATGGAATCATACAACATCTGTCCTGTAGAATCTGGCTTAGTTTGCTCAACATAAAAGGTTCTTCTGTACTACTGAATACACCAGTAAATTGTTCCTTCTTATTGGTAAGTGTTTTTCATTCCATTGTGTAACTATATCATAATTTGATTATGCACCTTTGATGGGCATTTGAGGTATTTCTGTCGTGTTTTTTACGTTTATTACTTTATGTGCACTGGTCTTTTGTCTGCACTCATGTCTGTGTGAGGGTGTCAGATCCCCTGGAGCTGTAGTTACAGTTGTGAGCCACCATGTAGATGCTGGGAATTGAACCTGAGTCCTCAGGAAGAGCAGCCAGTGCTCTTAACCGCTGAGCCATCTCTCCAGTCCCATTTGAGGTATTCTATGTGGACTACCACAGATAACTTTGCTATGAGCGTTCCTGTACAGGCATTTTTGTAAATATATGTTTTGATTTTTTGTTTGTTTGTTTGGTTTGGTTTGGTTTTTCTGAGACAAGGTCTTTATTCTGTAGCCCAGAATGGCCCAGAATATACTATGTAACACAGACTGGCCTCAAACTAATGACAGTCTTCTTGCCTCAGCTTCCTGAGTGCTGGGGTTATACATGTGAACCAACATGTCCAGATTTAATTTTATAAATGGCATTTTTATTAGAAAAAAGTTTTAAATTGTATTAAGTTTACCTTGCCAATTGTTTCTTTTATGGTGAATTTTTTTTTGTTTCTTGAGAAATGTTCTTTTGTTCCTAGCTTGTAAGATATCCTATATTTTCTTCTAGAAGCTTTCTAATTTTTACATTTGTGCTAGATGATCAAATGAATATGATCTATTTTGAAGTAGGGTTTTTTTTGCATGTGTTAGAGAGAGATTGATATTTCTTTTAGTTCCACACAGATATTCATACAATTTGATTAACCCCTTCTATGTTCAGTTATCTTGGATCTATTTATGAACTCTAAAATCTGTTACGATACCTACTTACCTAGTCTTACATAGGTAGCTACTCTATTGTCTAGTTTTAGAATAAATATTTATTCTAAACTGAAATGGGACAATGGAAGGCCTCTAATTTCATTCGCGTTTTCACTTAGGTTTTAGCTGTGGTTGGCCTTCTGCATTTCCACAGACAGCCCAGCACCCCTTGTGCCTGGCTCTCCTTGTTGTGTTACTTTATAGAATTGACTGAACGATTGTTTTATTCCCCTTTGACTGAAAGGCTTAATTAAAGGCAGTGGCTGACATACTCCTTCAATTCGCCTGGAGCCCTGTAGCAGACAAAGCTTTATTCATAATAAATGCTTTAAATGCTTAATTAGTTCTCCATGGTGTTGAGACATGCACCACCCTCAGTTTGAATCCCGGCTTTGCCATCTCCCAATCATGTAAACGTCCACCCCCGAACCTCCAAGGCCCGGTGCTTCTGTCAGTGAAATAGAGTGGAAACGACAGCCCAGACAAGGAATAAATCTCTGGATGCACATAAAACGGCTCACCACGGTCATCTTCACCTAAACAGCACAAGAACAGATTCAGAAACCAATTCACCATTTTTTTGTTTTGCCTGCAATTAAAGTCTTATTTTGTTGCCATTGATTGATACATCCCCCTTCAAACTCTTTTTTTTTAATTTAATTTTAGATTTATTTTATGTGTATTTTGCCTGCATGTCTACATGTGCACCACGGGCATGGCTGAGGCCAGCAGAGGTCAGAAAAGGACAATAGAGATCCCAGAATTGGAGTCACAAGTGGTTGTGAACCACGTGTGGGTGCTGGGAATGGAACCCTGGTCCACTATAAGATCAGCAAGTGCTTTTAACCACTGAACCAGCTCCCCAGCCCCACTGCCTTCAAGCTCTTGTATAAGTAATTACTTCAATGCAAATAGTAGAAACGGTAAACAGTGGTGCAAAGAGAATAAACGGTAAAACGCAGATAGTAAAACACGATGTGAGCAAGTTTTCACAATTTAGGTACTGATAAATGACTTTCCAGATCTGGTGGCGGTAATATCTGGATCCTTTAGTTCTCTGGTCCCTGTGATCTCTGGTTTAAGAACTCAAACAAGACACGCAGAATATAGTGTGGAAGACAAGATGAGCTTATGAAATAAGCTACACTTTCGGAGCTGGAGAGATGGCTCAGTAGTTGTTTTTGCAGAGGATCCAGGTTCAGTTCTTACTGCCCATGTGGTGACTCACAACCATCTAGAATTCTAATTCCAGAGGATTGGACACCCTCTTCCGGCCTCCTCAGGCACCAGGCACACACGAGGCACACAGACATACATGCACGTAAAATAAGCACATGCATAAAATAAATAATTCTGAAATAAAAATCACCTTTTTTTCTTTAAGATTTTTCATTCATTGCCGGGCGGTGGTGGCGCACGCCTTTAATCCCAGCACTCGGGAGGCAGAGCCAGGCGGATCTTTGTGAGTTCGAGGCTAGCCTGGGCTACCAAGTGAGTTCCAGAAAAGGCGCAAAGCTACACAGAGAAACCCTGTCTCAAAAAAAACCAAAAAAAAAAAAAAAAAAAAAAGATTTTTCATTCATTTTACATACCAACCAAGATCCCTCCTACGCTTCCCCCCCAACCCCCTCCTCCAAAAGGGCAAGGCCTCCCATGGGGAGTCAGCAAAGCCTGGTACATTCAGTTGAGGCAGGTCCAGGCCCCTTCTTTCTGCATCAAGGCTGAGCAAGGTATCCCATCTTAGGTAATGGGCTCCAGAATAAAAACAATCTTAAAAAAAATAAAAATAATGCCAGGCGGTCGTGGCACACGCCTTTAATCCCAGCACTCGGGAGGCAGAGGCAGGCGGATCTCTGTGAGTTCAAGGCCAGCCTGGTCTCCAAAGTGAGTTCCAGGAAAGGCGCAAAGCTACACAGGGAAACCCTGTCTTGAAAAACCTAAATAAATAAATAAATAAATAAATAAATAAATAAATAAATAAATAAATAAACAAACTACATTTTCAAAGGGTAAGAGTAGATAATGACCATAGAGACCATTGTCTCATCTGCATTTTACGTGGGCTTTATACTATTTTCTAGAGTCTTTAGAACAAGCGGCTTCTTCTGAGAGGCATTGTCCTGTCTAAGTGACAGGCAAGCCTGTGTCCCTTGACTCTCTCAAGAAGCAGTAACAGTCTATCTTCACTCATCATCAGAGAGACTCTTACTAGGTAGGACTCCCATGAGGTTTATGGCTCCCGGGTTCAGGTTTAGAGTGTTATTTGTTAATGGCCTTCTTTAGGACAGTTCGGGGGCGTATGTCTCTTCAGGGACAGAAATATGACTCAGGTCTGATCCTCCTAAATCAAATGCCAACCCTTGTAGTTCTTTATTTTACAGTCTGTCGATGATGGGGGGGGTGTCCTGCCCCAGAGTCCTCCAAGCCTGCTAATATCTAACTAGCTACCTGCCAGAGGTGCATGTTTCTGCTTCCTCCTGGCTTCCACTGCTTTTCTTACTTGTTCCAATTAGAAGAGAGCCACTTATGTCCTTTATGTGGCGATCTGTGATGCCGAGAGCACCCTTCCTCAAGGGTTAAAAGTCTTCTCTTTTGGATGGTCTCATATGATAGAGCCCTACCTTCTCTTGGCCGACTTCATATTTTGTTTTTAAATTTTAAAATCACATTTATTTATTTATCTGTGTCTGTGCGTCTGTGCGCCTGTGCGCATGCAGCCACGCCACGGTACATTCGTGGAGGTGAGAGGACAACCCCATGGAGCCAGTTCTCTCCTCCGCTGATGTGGGTTCTGGGGACTGAGCACAGGTCGTCAGGCTGTCCTGGCTCCCTGCTGAGCCATCACACTAGACCTTGGCTGACTCTCTTAGTCCACGGATCAGCATCACCACTTATTTCTGAGTTAATATGTCACATCATTGGTTGTCTCTCCCACGCCTGTCATAGAAAACCTGAATCTGCGAAACGCTGGCTTGGAGAACACGTACAATCCAGTTGGAGTGAGATAGAAACTGGTCCTGTCAAGGATGACTGTGGGATTCCCATCCTTTCTGCTGGGTTGTGGGGGAAGCCTGGTGGCTCTGAGTTCAGACCCTCTTTTGTAATGCTGAACAGGACAAATATTTAGATCCTGTTTTTTTTTTTTTTTTTTTTCTCTTCTAGATTGAAACCAAGATCTCCTTCTCTACCCTGAGTGCTGTTGCAAGTCCCAGGATTGTAGACCTTGCCCACCCGAGGATCAAGATAGAGGGTCTATGCTATGAGAGAGAGAAGAGTGAATTGCCCATCCGTCCCGTAAGCCATCCCTGTCTCACTCATTGGCTGTCCTCCTGATTGCTCCTAAGATGTTATTTCTGCCTCAACAAGGCATAGTTCAAAGTCATCAGAAAAGAGAGTCTTGAAAGTGGTCTGTAGGGGGAAGGGAGGCCTACAGATAGGATAAGGGAAGAGGCAGAAAAGTTGAGGGCAAAGAACATGAGCTTTGAAGTTAGTGAGCTGGGGGTGTGAGTCTCTGCTCTTTCCAAAGCACTTTTCGCAGTGGAGACTGCCTGCTAGGGCACCATCCTTCTTACCTTACCGATAAAGTAACAGTGAAGACACAATATGGAAGACATCATTTCAATGTAAGACAAGAAGAGAATAGTCAGGCTCCATGTATTCGTTTGTCACCTATTAGGTACAAGAGCCTGGTCTAGCTACTGGCAAACAGTCTCCCCTGAGCAGTTCATATTGTAATGGAAAAAAGGCAGATGAAAAACAGGCAAATGAGTTTACACCGTAGTTACACACTATGAGGAAGCTTCAGTGAGCCGGGTACAATGGCCCACAAATGTGCTATCTCCGTGCTCAGGAGCCTGAGGCAGGAGGATCTCAGATTTGAGGCAGAGTTGAGTTGAACTCTGATGATGAGCTAGGCACCAGGGCTTGTAAGACTGTCTCAGACAGACAGACAGACAGACAGAAAGATTAAATAAGTATAAGTTCTGCAGAGAAGGTCCATTAGAAAGGGTCATCTGTTCCCGCAGGTCAGGAAGTCTTCCTTGAGGGTCTGATGGGGGTCTGATTTAGACACAAACGAGGGAAATAATCTCAGCCAAGAATGAGGAAAGACGTCTCAAGTAGAACTAGTTAAGTACAGAGGTCCTGAGGCAGAAAGAGCCAGAACGGATGCATTGTGTGGCCGCCATGAGTCACAGTGCCCCTGATGGGAGGGGGAGAAGACAAAGTTAGAGAAGTGGGGTGGCGTTCAGATTTTATGGGGCCCCTGCAGATACAGGGAGGAACCTACTCTACTGTCAGCAAAATGAGGGTGCCTCAGAAGGAGTGAGCACCTGAGGGTGGTGGGTTCCAACTTAGCTCTAGGAACTACTTGCCTGGTGAAGAGTTGAGATGACGAAGTGGGGGTGACGGAGACAAGTCCCCCAGAGCTGTCCCTGCTCCAGGAGGTATCAGGGGAAGGCTGGATCACTCAGGCTAAGAGGAGAGGCATGGGGATCCGCTGGGAGTGCACATCATCACAGTACTGCAGGCGAGGGATGAGAGGGAGACCAGGAGGCATGGGGAATTCTGGGATGGAGATTTGCATCTCTGTTTTTTTTGCTACAGATATCCCCTGCTGCCCTGCTTGCCAAACCTACTAGCCGAACAATAACCCTAGCCAAGTCCAAACCTGTTCACGAAGATTATCTCCCTGTCCGAGATGCCCGATGGCCTGTGTCTTCTGCTGCTGCCCATCCTCGGGTGTCTGACAGAATCCAGGAGCTAGCTAATCCACCCCCAAGGTATGGCGATTTAAGGCTAAAGAAGAACAGGAAAGGTTAGGGGTCTGGAGAAAGAGGGGAGGTTGATCTAAAGTTAAAAAACAAAAACAGGCAACATTTTTGGGGGGGATGGAAAAGAGCAAAGCCTTTGGAATCTGACAGTGGGCAGACCCTAGATGATGCTTATAGCGTCTTTGAGTCTTCATTTGCTCCCCTGTATAATGGAGACCACTAAATCCCAACTGGACAATAATACCCTAGTGCTTAACATGGAGGTGGGGTTGTGCTTGGGAAATATCAGTTCCTCTTTTTGTTCTCCTTAGTTCAGATTGGTTTCTTCTTCTACTATTCCAGGGCTTCAGTGCATGTTGTATTCTACGACCCAGACGTGTTTAAAGTCAAGCCTGCTGCTTTGAAAGCACAGTGTTCTGCCAGGGTCAGGGAGCTGGCGGAACCCATCATGCGCTAACTGCAGCAAGCCATCCGAGGCAGACACGAGTTACGTATCCGGAACACGTAGCAGATGACTTGGTTCCCTTGCCTTGGTATTTACATCTTACCGATCACCTCCCAAACGTGAGACCTCCAGGGAACACCACCGTGAGCGTCAGATAGGCACTGTCTGTGATCTTGTCTTTACCGAGTTTGGGGACTCCACCCTGCATTAAAGGGGGAACCGATACCTGCTTCGTTATCCCTCCCACTCACACGGGCATCACGGCGGCTCCCTGGCTGTGCTGCTCGGAGGACTTAGTCTCTCACATTTGTGTGCTTTGCACACACACCCCTCCCCACCCCCAATTCTATCTCCCGCCCTTCTCTACAGAATCCTGGGCATTGAGGTCATTCTTAGTGTGGCCTTGTCAATCTCCCTTCATCACGTGCAAAAACACGGACACGAAGAACTAGCTTCTTTGGATGAGATGAAATGGTTCTCATCATCCCTATTAGGGAACTGCTTGCTTGCTTCAACATCTTTACAGGTCTCCGCCGCCTCACTCCAGGCTCGCAGCCACTCACCATGAAGGACAGGAAAGAGACGTCCACACGGTGAACCAGTGTGCACCTGTAATCCCAGCTACTAAGGGAAGGCAGGGGGAGGGAGGATCGCATGAGCCCAAGAGCTTGTCAAGAGCAGTGGGCAACAGTGACATCCCATCTCAGAAAGATAAACACAGTTTTTTGCGAGGTTTTTTTGTTTTGTTTTGTTTTTTAAAGAAAAGGCTTGGTGATGTACATGTCTATAATCCCAGAATTTGGAAGGCAGAGGCAAAAGGATCTACTACTACTTAAAAAGACCCTATCTTGGAGAGGGGGTCAAGACGTTGTTTTTAATGGCAAGCATGAAAACTTCTCTATCACATTGTTTCTGATTAGAGTTTTAGTTCGATCCTTGCATCACTATTTCAAAAACTTTATTTTTGTGGGACAGGCCTAGATTGGAACGAAAGTGAATTTACTTGAAATCTTATTTTACAACAAAAGGGCTATCTCTTCAAGGATGTGGAAAGGCAGTATATATATAATAGTTTTATATATATTATATATTATTATATATAGTATTATATAATAGTTCTGTTTTGTTTTACTTGGGGTTAGGCAGATCTGGGTTTGTAGCTCTCCTGGGCCATTACCGGACATTTGAGCTTAAACCAATTGTCTCACGCCCTATGCGTCTGTTTCCTGATATAAAGAAGGTTCTTCCCGCAATGTTGAAAAGATTAAATGGAAAAAAAAAATCTATGTAATAAAGTGTGAGTTTGAATTGAAATTTGTTTTTAAATTTCGCTGTTTTCAATGAGGAAAACGTGGCTTGGTTTTCCCCCCATCAAGTGAATGTTTGTTGACTGCTCCTCTAGGTGCCGTACAAGAGACTGGAGGTCCAGCGCAGTGAGCCAATCACATGCCAGCTCTGTCCTCATGGCCAGTTCATCTTCCTAACATCCCCGTATAAATAAGTGTGAAATGGCCAGAGTAATAGTGCTCTGAAGTAGTGCTCTGAAGTAGCAGAATCGAGAGCTGCAGTCCCCTAGGAAAGCAAGGGATTTTCTTCAGTGGAGAGAGAGTTGAACTGGAACCTGACATTGAGTAGGAAAAACTTAACTTCAGAGCAGACAGCAGGGCATTCCAGGGAGCGGGAACATATGTTTCAGGGATGTATTTGACTTTCGGGCTATCTTTCAGCCCTTCTTCCTCCCTTTGGAGAGCATCTGCAATTTCCTTTCGAGGAGTTACCATCTATTCACTCGAGCTCTACGCAGGAGGTGTGGGAACCCATCACTGACTCAGTTTCTCAGTTTGAATCTGAAGTCTATGCTGAGTCAATAGAGTTCAGACTTGTTTGCTCCAAGGCTGTGAGAAAGTCCTGATTATCCCACAGGAGGAAACATACTGTCTAGCTAGGTGCGGGCTGATAATGCCAGCCAGAAGTACATCAAGATAGAAAATGAGCCGGGCGTTGGTGGCGCACGCCTTTAATCCCAGCACTTGGGAGGCAGAGCCAGGTGGATCTCTGTGAGTTCGAGGCCAGCCTGGGCTACCAAGTGAGCTCCAGGAAATGCGCAAAGCTACACAGAGAAACCCTGTCTCAAAAAACCAAAAAAAAAAAAAAAAAAGATAGAAAATGAAACTGTCTGCTCCTTGACGCAAGGCAGGATAGACAGTGGTTGGATGCCTGCACTGTGCATTGTTCTAGCTCTGTCCTTCAAAACTGTGTATAAGCTGGCTGTGAAATAATCTCAAGACTGTCTGGCATTGACCGGCAGACCTCTCGACTCTTTTCTATCTTCTTCATTGTCTCTTCAATCCGCATGCCTCTACCCAACTACCCAGCTGACTGTCGGCAGGCTCCGACAAGGAGGCTGGGCACATAGCCTAGGATTGGGATAGTGTTTGTCTACCATGTGCAAGGCCCTGAGTACAACCCCCGGTATCTACAATGTAAACAGATCGGTAAGGAGGCTGGAGAGATGGCTCCGTGGCTAGGAGCACTGGCTATGCTCACTGAGGACCCAGGTTCAGTTCCCAGCGCTCACAGGGCACTTCACAACTGCCTGTAATTCCAGTTCTAGGATACCTGTGGCCCTCTTCTGGCCTCCTCGGACAAAGCACACACATGGTGCAGTTATTTATATACCGGCAAAGCATTCATACATATGAAATAAAAGTAAAATCTTCAAAAGAAAAAAAACAAATAACAAAGTTTTATGGGGCTGGGTGTAGTGGCACATGCCTTTAATCCCAGCACTTGGGAGGTAGAGGCAGGAAGATCTCTCTGAGTTTGAAGTCAGCCTAGTCTAAATATCAAGATCAGGTTTACCAGGGTTATACAAGAGATTGTTTTTAAAAAAAATCAGTGGGAGGGGGGAGAATAGGGGAACCCGTGGCTGATATGTAGAACTGAGTGGTATTGTAAAATAAAATAAAATAATAAAAAAAATGGAAAAAAATTCAGGGTGACTTTTATTCAAAGCGGCACAGTGAAAGGATGGACACATGCCCACGCCATCCAGGTCTAGTGGCCACTGTCTGAAACTTTGGGGTTTTAGTAGAATGATGCAGGGGTGGGCACGACACCTCCCATTCCAGGCGTTCTGATGCTTCCTTCCCCACCTGTAACACTGGAACTGTTCTCAGTTCCTTGCCCTCAGCTATTCCTTTGATTCAGGAACTGTCTATAGACTTCTAGCAAATCCTTTGTAGCAGCAGATGGGAGAGTACACTGTAAGCTGAAAGAATGTTAGTGTGGTTCCAAAAGGAAGGTCTGCAAGATGCCAGGGGAAGCCGGAGGAAGGGAGCCAGGCCCTTGGGGCACTGGAGGCCAAGTTGAGCATTTTAGTCTCCATCCTAAAGGCAATGGGAAGCTACTGAATTAAGTAAATTAAGTAGAAGAGGGTACAGAATACCTTTGGTCCTTAGAAGTCACGCCTGGACTTTGGGCGGAGAGAAAAGGAGAGCTTTCTTACATTGCCTTAGTTTCAGCTCCACCAGTTTATTACAGTAACTCCCCATGGTCCTGGGGTGAGATGATCCAAGTCTCTTGTGGACATTTGAAACTGAAGAGAGTGCCGTGCCATTTAGACATTGTCTGCACATGAATAGATATGAGAATGTTTAATTTATTATCATTATTATTATTATGGCTCTTTTGTCCTTTCAGACAGGGTCTCTCTATGCAGCCCTGACTGTCCTGGAACTGACTATATAGATAAAGCTGGCCTCAAGCTCATAGAGATATACCTGCTTCTGCAGGTATTGAGAATGTTGGGACTAAAGACATGCACCACCAGGCCGTAAGAAAGTTTTGTTCATGCCAGGCAGTAGTAAGTGGTAGCACATGCCTGGGAGGCAGAGGCAGGTGGGTTTCTGAGTTCAAGGCCAGCTTGGTCTACAGAGTGAGTTCCAGGGCAGCCAGGGTAACACTGAGAAATCCTGTCTCAAAAAAACAAAAAGAAAGAAAGTTTAGTTTATAAAGTAGACATTATAAGTGATAACAATAGCTAATTTTATCACAGAACGTTATAACACAAAGTTGTTAGTGTGATCCCTACCTCTCCCTCTGTCTGAAAATATCTTCATATGTAATCACCCTTCTTCTTGTGATGGTGTGAGATGATCCAGTGCCTCCAGGGTGAGATAAAACTTTGAGAATGATAGCATAGCACTAGGCTATTAGCGGTCTTTTCACGTGTCAGAAAGACATCAACTACTTCAGGTCATCCTGTATGCAATTTTTTTTTCTTATTTAGTTAGAAACATTCAACTTTTGGCTTCAAGGAAGCATGTTACATACTCTCCTTAGCACATTTAAATTACCTCTGTCACTCTTCTCATCCTTTGGGAACATGACTGAGTAAAATAAGGACGGCCTAAGAGTAATACTCTGATACCACAGGGACAATCTGGTGACCAAGGTGGGTATTAAGTGACTAACAGGTGTGTGGCATATATGATGTGGATACACTGGATACAAAAGTGATCATGTCCCAGGTTGGAGGAGGGGGGTGGTGGACGTGGGCAGGGGGTGGAGTAGGGAGTGAAGAGGTTATGAGAGGTTATTTCCGTACTCAGAATAGCAGACAATAAGCAAGCTACAGGGTTGGGGATTTAGCTCAGTGATAGAGCACTTGCCTAGCAAGCACAAGGCCCTGGGTTCGATCCTCAGCTCAAAAAACAAAAAACAACTGTTTACCACTGGGATTCTCTATCTAATAAATTTACAAAATGAAATCACAGATTATGGAGCTAGAATAAGCGAACAGCTAGGAAGACTGCAGACTAGCCTTGGCTCGTGGAATGGGGAAATGGAGTGGTTTTGCCAGCTTCTGTCTGCTCTCCATGGGCGTGGACACAGGTTTTGCTTTGGTAGAAAGAGCAGGCGACACTCCTTCATTCAGCCCCTATCAGTTTTCTTCTACCCACCCAGGGTTGGCCAGTAAGAAACTGAATGACTGGAATAGAGAAGGGCGTTGGTCATGAAAGGTCCCACCTTAGCTGACTCTTTTTTCCTCCTTCAGAAGGCTGTGGGTTTTCTGTCTTTTGTTTGTTTGCTCTTTTTTTTTTTTTTTTTTTTTTTTTTGAAGCGGGGCTTCTCTGTATAACAACTCTGACTGTCCTGGAACTGGCTGTGTAGACCAGACTGGCCTCAAACTCACAGAGATCCACCTACCTCTGCTTCCCGAA